AAGGCATGCCTGCAATGAGGAGAGCATGAGTCAAGTTTAAGAGTGATCAAAAATTAAAATATTTATTTAAAAAAATCTAATTTTGATTGGGATCAGCTCAAACTTTCTATGTAACATAAGTATTTATATGTATCAAAAATGGAGAATCCTCTCCTTTTCAATTTTGGTAAAATTTGGCCCGAGACCCTGTACTATAGTACAGGGGCTTTGGCCTGATTTTGGAGCAATTTTAAAAATAAAAAGGAAGCCATCTTGAATAGTAAAGGAAAGGAAATACCAGTATTGCTAACATGGAGAGTTTATATGACCTTCCACATGAACCTGTAATTACATTCTGATACCATTGACACTATAGACTATAGGATAATGACAATACTAAAAAGACTGTACATGGTGTACTTTGTACATATACATGCATTGCACTACATACTACACTACAGGTCATTGCTAAAGGTGTATGTACTTGTACATGGATAGATTCTACAGGTGACTAATGATGAAAAGAGAAACTACATTAAACCTGATGCTTAGAATGCAACAACAACACTTGTAATCCAACTAACACTACTGCCAATTAACATACTGTTAATGGGAAAATAAGATTTTTACAATGTACGTCTAGACTATGCTAATGTTGACTTTGTACTACAACACAATTGCAACCACCTCAATATAGAGCATTAGTCGGGCAGTAAAGGCTATAGTGACTATTGCTACATGTCATGTACGTACTTTCTTTCATCAGGATCATCCAGGTTGTTGGAATGCTCATGCAGTTTATCACAGCAGTCATCGATTCGAGACTTGAGGTCTACTTCAAGGTTCTCTATGAGTTGTGACGCCATTGAACTGAGAGAAGAAAAGAAGAGAACAGAGTGATTGCAAGAGAGAGGAAGAGTCGAAAAATAGCAAGAAAATTTTACCTACCAAAATCTTAGTCCAGCTTCAATCTCTCCGGTGGATATATCATTACATATGTCTTTGGTTATCTCCCATTGAGACTCCAAGAGGTTCCTGTCTGTAGAACTGACTTGAACAAGGCGCTCGACGTAAGAGAAATACAACTAAAAACAAATAATAATAATAATAATGGTAATGTACATGTATGTGATAATAATGTAATGACACTTGGTAATAACAATGACAAAATAATAATTGCATTTATATATATATACAATTACATAACAATTAGTCTAAAAGGTACATGTTCACTCACTGTAATGCATTACAAATGCAACAAAGATTACATGCATATACATATACATATAATTTCCATTGCATTTACCTGTAAGACACTTTGAAGGTGCTTCTCATAACAAGCCATGTCATTATCAACCAGTTCAGCTCCGCTAGGATCATTGGCTATCAAGAGACGTACCTTTGAGCGATAAAACTTCCTAACCCTCACCGCCTTTTTGAGCGTAACACAGGACTCTTGCACCAACTAATAAAAAAGAAGTATCTATAATGTAATGTGTAACTGAATAAGCACACAAGACACAGTCTTAAAATGCTGTAGTGTAGAGCATATTGTTACCTTCTAAGAGTAATTGCTCATACATGTATGTTACATTAAATGATGCACCCATGCACTGTGATTAATGGACTTTCCCCATTTATCATTATACTTTAATAAATTGAATTAATTGTCAAGTTCAAATAAGGTACAATCATTATTACAACAACAGCCAAGCCTGATCCTCTCCCTTGTTAAAATAAGGAGAGTCTTACCATCCCAACAGAATAAGGAGTTGGACTCTTGTTCACTTCAGTACGCAGTCTCATAGACTCCTGCATTATATCCAATGGAACTCTGGTTAGACGAAGATACTGAAAGAGAGAGAGAGAGAGGGAGAAAGAGAGAGAGAAGAGAAAAGTAGCATGTACATGTACATTGATAAAGTAACCGACTTGTTCAGCAAATGGCGGAAGATTCATGTCCTGAAACTCATCATTCCAGCACTTAGGGGCAACGCTGCTAGCACGCTTCATTTGAGCAGGCCCTGGAGTACTAACACCTCCAAAGTGAATAAGACGAAACGGGGACAGTCTCTCTAAAAAAGAGCTATTATCTTCACTGTCGCTGTCTTCCGACTTATCTTCTTCGACCTCAAGCTGTTTCATTGCTTCTTTGGCAGTCTTGAGTATCGGCTTGATAGACTTTATAAGCTTCTCTATCAGCCAATCCAGACTCTTTCTCTTGAGTACCTGATCAACAAAACGGCTGTAGCCTTTGGATGACACTCTCTCCTCGTCAATCGAGTAGATATTACGAGATGAGAAGAGACGCTGTAGAGTGCCTCTTGAGCTGGATATGGAGTTTTGTGTTTGGAAGAAAGAGCTGGCGAAGGAGAGAGCACTGAGTGAAAGGGACTCTTCAGGATCAACTGATATCTCACTCGTAAACAAAGGAGGAGTTGGGAGAGGAGGGTTCCCGCCAGAACCACCAGATCCTTGACGAGAAGGTGTGCCAGGTTCTACGTTGCAAGGGATTGGGTCATCTTCTGAGCGTCTCACTGGGTTAATAATGACTCCAAACCATTTAGAAAGGTTTACTAAATGCTTTGCGAGTCCTTCCGTGATCTTTAGCCAGAGGACCAGTGCAGCTCTGCGTCTCTTGAAAGGCAATTGTTGATATTGCTTATCAACAACCCTCTTACTACTGGCATATAATAGCTCGACTCTCTCTAGATCAGAGAGTAGCGAGTCCACATCTTCAATGGCCTGCAACTGCTCTTCACTCAGGAAGTTATCAAAGCTAAACTCGACCAATGAAGCATCAGAATCATTAGACTCTTGCTGGGTGAGTGTCTGAGGCCCGTAGTCATCTTCTCCCTCAGTCTCTCCTCCTCCATCCTCCCACCTAACTGACGGATTATTAATGGACGTCAATGGAGTCTCATCCCCTTCTTCTTCTTCTCCTTTCTCCTCTACCTCCTCCTCCTCTTCTTTGTTCTCCTGTAATGGCATCATCTTCCTCCGTCTAAGGCTCCCTCTCTTTAGCTCGTTCAGTTGAGCTGGAAGACTCTTTGCTGACTCACTTAAGCCACGGAAGTATCCACTAAGTGTAGAGTCGGAAGAGAAAGAGTAATGGATGATCCGATAGAGTATACTGCCACTCTCACACTGGAGCTGATAGTCTGCCTCCTCCTGGTCCTCTAGCGTGTGGTTATTGAGGTAAGCTCTCAGTTCCATCCTTAGCTGCTCGTTATCGGGACCAAAGGGATTCTTAGCATTGAGATCCTCAGAGTGCTGTCTCGGGATATGGCCTGGCTGGGTACTAGACTGCTGCTGACGCTTTGCTATCATTTTGAGTCTCTTGGAAAAGTTACGATAGAACTGCTTCCTATCGGGAGGACAGTGCATGGAGTGAGAGGAGGAGGAGGAGAGAGTAAGAGATAACTGTGCATCAGATTGTGACCTCTCTATACTGACACCAGGGGGTGCGTGAGAGAGAGAGGAGAGGGAGTAATACGGAATGATATTATCAGTTGTATAAGAGAATGATGGCCGCATGTGTGAAGGGATTCCAGGAGAAAGCATAGGATTAGGAGAACCAACCTTCCCTAGCTTAGAAGGATAGGGACTAGAGGAGAGTTTGGAGCTGTAGGTCCCTGGAGATAAGTGAGGCAGAGGATAAAGCAGAGGTGAGTCTCCGGTAGGTAAATAATGAGGATCAATAGGAGGAGGATATAGGGACGTATCGACTGATGGTGATTGGTTACGTGGGGGAAGAGGGTAAGATGAAAGAGGAGGAACATTATAAGATAAAGGAGAAGGAGAGGAGGAAGGGTGAGAGGGGGGAGGAGGGTGAGAGGGAGAAGGAGGGGGTAAGGGGGGAGGAGAAGAGGGAGGGGGTAAGGGAGAGTGAGAGGGGAGAGGGTGTGAGGGAGGAGGGTGTGAGGAGGGAGGAGGGGAGGAATGTGAGTGTGCTAGTACAGGGTAAGGTGGGTTAGAGGGAGAGGGACTTGAGAAAGAGGGTCGTGGTGGTTCAGTGTTCGTATAATTAGCAGTGGACGATGGTGAGGTGCTCATTTCTGGATGATTTATTGCTGATTTGACATTACGCTCCATCTGTCTGCTCTTTTCTTTCTTCTTCTTGTCACACGACGAGACTTGACATGATTCGCTACTGATCTCTTCTCCCTCGCCAGTCAATGAATATCGTTTATGTATCGAGGAATCAGAAGGCGTCGATACTGATTCAGACCAATCAGCTGATTTTGCTCTAGTAATATCCTTAACTCTATACGGCGACTGGTTCTCAGATGAAGAAGACATAATCTTTCGCGACGTCTTGTACTTGTGTCCACGACGTGACATTTTATGCAACCGATTATTAGATGGAGGGGTAGACCCAGTCAGTCCTTCATCATAAGACCCTGACTCCTCCTCCTCCTCCTCTGATGTTGAGTCTACTGGTAATGAGGAGAGTTTATCATCAGTTTCTCCACTAGCCTCTTCGTCGATGCCTTCCACGACGTGGTCGGGAAAGTAGCTCTCTTCTTCTCCTTCTCCTTCCGCCATGAGCTCTTTTCTTCAAAGGAAAAAGAGGAAGAAATACTCCTTACAAAAACATGGAGAATTTGCATTAGAAGAAGGACTGTCCCTTAGTAAAACTCCGTAAAAAATCAGAGACGGTCATGTAACGTTAACTGGAAGTCGATGTCCCCGTACACTATCCAATATGGCCGCAACAATGGAAGGTGGAAAGAATATTTGTGCTGTTCTGAGAGCTAAAGGAGACTTACAGTTGGTAAGCAAGTGCAACAATCTGTCTATTAATAAGTTTTCTGAGCTTGCTGCATTGCACGGGCTGGAATCTACAGCTCTGCCTTTATGCAATAAGGTTATGGTTTTAGTGTTTCTTTTTGAAACCATTTAGGAAGAAAGAGTCATTCCCAAGGCTGGGAAGGGAGGTATGGCCCTATGTCCTATGCTGCAGGTGCAAACTCCTCTATATATTTACTCTCTATGTAGAGGTGCTCCTAAGAATGAAATCAGTTGGTATCTGTGGGAGTGATGTTCATTATTGGACCGAGGGGAGGATTGGTGATTTCATACTCAAAGAGCCAATGATAATGGGACACGAAGCTAGTGCCGTAGTGGTGGAGACTGGGGAGGGTGTCAGCCATCTCAAACCAGGTCAGATATTAGTAGCATACAAGCTAGCGTATTGTGCAAGATATTTCTGTATTGCCTGGGGTATGTATGCTTGTGTGTTTGATTCTGTTTGCACTATTGCTGTATGCTCTTGTTGGAGGTGGGGCTCGTTTATTGACTGCAGCTGCTTGTACATGTACGTGTAGAGTATGATAGTAAGCATCATCAAGAGTAAGTAATTATCTGCTCTTCACATCATGTAATTAGATCAATTGGTAGACATTAGTGAGTATGGACATAAAAGCCATAACAGCTCTACTTTACGAATATGTCAAAACAATAAACAAGATGGTTTTTAAAAATTGTCATAGATGTGTCTACATTGTATATGTATGGTGGTTTTTGAAAATGGCTTCTCTTTAAAACCAAGCTGTTGGTTTTAGCTCCTAAACCTTCCTTTATAACTTCAATTCTTTTTCTTAAACATCTCCTAGTCTAGAATATCTTACTATAATGCATACATCCTTATCTGAGGTGTAGCCATTTTAAAAGCAATTAAACCTATAATAATTGCACCATCCCACACTAATAAATTGTGTTTTAGAGCACACAAATGTACATTGTAAATACATACTAAAAGGCATGTTTTACAAACTTTGGGTAGCATCTCCCTAAAGAATGATTTTTTTTAATAACAGGGTATTGGAAGGAAAAACAATCGTTTGTTGATATCATAGCATAGCAACCTTATACGCCATCCTTGATCTTAAAATTTGTTTTTTTGAAAAACTAATTTACCACGTAAGGCTTGTCATTGTATGAGCTCTACAAAGGCTTGAAAATTGTCGTAACGTTATTAGCAATCATGGTAATAGGCTTGAAGTGGTGAAAAGTTCAGACAATGGTTCGAGAAGATTGTATTGTATGATTTTCTTGTCGTATGATTATTGTAGTTATTAATGTTAAACGACTAATGGCTATAAAAGTAGTTGAGTGTTTCTATCACAAACAACCATTCAGTTGAAAATGTATTCTATTCTACTGGTTCTTTGTATTGCCTCATTATCTGCTGCACTTGATGGTACTTGTGTTAATCCTACTACTTTGTCTTTCATTGAGAATTCACTGAGTAATATCAGTGATCAGCTTAAAGGATCATCTAATGGAGTGAG